TTATCTACTGTGCCAAGATCTCTTCTAATTGGTTTATTAACTTCTCTTTGTTCAGCATTTTAAAAAATGTTGTGCCACCTCCTCCTGTCTTCTATGGTATCCAATGAGAAATACACTGTCATTCGAATTGATCCTCTATATATGATGTGTCATTTTTTTCTGGCTGATTCCAAATTATTTTCTTTGTCTTTAGTTTTCAGAAATTTGGTGTGCCTGATGTAGAGTTCTTTGAATTTAACCTGTTTGAGTTTGATCAGCTTTGATCTATAGGTTTACCAAATTCAAGGGGTTTTCAAGTATGATCTCTGCAGTGCCTGGAGGGAAGAGGAAAGTGTACCACCTCTATTCACCCTAGTGCTAGGGAGGAGATGGTCAACAGGGCTTCACCTCAGTCTCTACAGGGGTGGGGGGAAAGGTTCTACCTTTGCTTGGGTTAGTGCAAGGCAGAGATGATCAACAGGTCCCTACCCTCATAGTTTCTGGGCTCCTGGAGAAGAGGGGTAGGGGCACCACCTCATTAACACAGAATGAGAATGGTTGACAGGGCCATGCTCCACCATTCACACATCGCCCTATATGGAGGGAAACATGGCTTCTTTTATAGTATTCACCTAGAATAGAACAGGTATAGTCAAAGGGAACAAAATTCCATTTTAAAATAAAAAGCTTTCCTCGTATCATTATTAAATAAAATAACTTGGCAAATCAGAGAGATTGATAATTCTGGCAGTGATATCTCAGAGCAGGTTGGGATTGCTACTCTTACAACTGATAATCAGCATACCTTTGCCAGATCTACACAGTTACTCAAAACCAAATCCAAAAATAACTTCTATGATCAAAGGACCAATCGATTTGGGAAGAATATTCATGTTTTTGTCAGGTTCAAATTTACCATCATCAACAATGGCTATAACTACTTTCCCTTTGGTCCACTGATGATGTTATTTTTTTTCTGTTGGCAGCTTTTTTTCCAAAGCAATATGTGATAACACGAGCGTAGTATGTGTGGTGTCAAGAAGTCGTGAAACCAGCATTCTGGTGATGTATTCTTTGAACATGTAATATGGAAGCTAATGTAATTAACCTTGCATCATTTTTCTCAATATAGTAAAGAGAGTTCTATTTGCAAACCCAGAATGATTATTTTAGTGATATCAGGAAAGAAGCAGTAATTTAACTACCTAGAGCACATCACACACTGTGACAGATACTACAGGTCACACACTATACAGATAGAGTGTGGAGAAACATATCTTTTGTCCCTGCCATCAAGGACAGTATAGAATACTAAGGTAGGAAAATATGAATGGTCATACAAATGTGCAATTCCAAACAATTCAAGGGAAGCATATTATAGGGGAAAGTGTACATTTAGATTGAGGCTGGTTTAAAAATGAAGGCATTTGTGTAAGTCTGTGCTCTTGCCTGTAAGCAACGAAAAATAAATTCTGTAAAATTTAAGCAAAAAAGGAATGTATTAGAAAAACATAGAAGTTAATATCTAAAGGTAGCTAGAAAAGACTCAGACTATAAAAGGAAATTTAAAATGCTCAAAAGGACTAGGAAATAAAAAATGTATCAAAGGCTAAATCACATGACCATCTTGATTTGCATTTCACCACAACCGTTATAATGGATATGATAAGGATGTGGGCCCCTATCCTTATAGTGAGCTCAGGATTCGGAGTTCTGGGAGACAGTACTAATAAGTCAAGCCAAAGACAAAAGTGTCTACTCTTCTGGCTTTGAGGGAGGGGAAGATTGGAAGAAAGATGCTCTAAGGGGGTAGATAATACTCGAAATGGGATGTAATTTCAATGGGAAATTTCTCCAAAGCACAGTGTAGGTTTCTAAGCTAAGTGTCCACCATCCCCTCTCTGCAGAAATAAACTTGAAGCTGTGACCAAGGGGATAGAGGAAGGGAAGCCCAATGAAGGGTCTGTGGAGAAGGACAAGGTTGGGTGGAGAAGATGACATGAGATGCATTCTAAACAGCATCTGAGAAAGCTCTGAGACATGTTCAGAATCAAAGAAAGTCTATGTGTCTGAAGTCACTTATGAGAGTATATACTAAGACAAGTGAAGAAAGTCAGAAAGTGTCAAATCACACAGACATTTGCAGGATATAAGCCAAATATTTAATACATATTAAGTGCAATGGTAAGATTAATGATTTTGGTTTTTGTGTTTTGTTTTTCAGCAAAGGAGAAAAAAAGACCTATATTTTTTACACCTGTGTTTTTAAAAGATCCTTTTCCTTGCCATTTAGAAAATTGATTTAAAAGTAGCCACAGTGGGCCGGCCAAGTGGCTCAGTTGGTTAAGAGCTCACTCAAGAGTCTGAGCTCTGAGCAACAGCGGTTCGAGTCCGGCCCGAGCTGAGTTGCCGCTGAGTTGCTGCTGAGCTGCCAACAGGTGGTAAGATGGCTCAGCTAAAAATAAATTAATTAATTAAATAAATAAATAAAAGTAGCCATAACGATTGAGGAGAGCCAGTTAAGCCATTTTCTTTATTATAATCTATTCTCTTTGCTATAGATAAAGGTAATGGGTGGCAGTGGAGACCAAGTTAGAAGAGACTGAAGAAGAAATATGTAAAATTTGGGGTGGCCGGTTAGCTCAGGTGGTTAGAGCACAGGCTCATAATACCAAGGTTGCCCGTTCCATTCCCACATGGGCTGTGGAGCTGCGCCCTCCACAACTAGATTGAAGACAACTACTTGACTTGGAGCTGATGGATCCTGGAAAAACACACTGTTCCCCAATAAAATTTCTTAAAAAAAAAAAGAATGTAAAACTTGTGGAATATATGTGCATGAGCACAAAGAATGTAATTTGTTCAAGGACACAGGCATAAGTAGGATCCCACAGGGTCTGTGATTTCTGAGTAACGTAAGTTAAAAGGAGATAAAATTGAATTACTGTTAGGCTTTCATTTTCCAGAAACAAGTGGTCAAAATGTATAGAGAAAATGTTCTACACACAGCACCTAAACATTGTGCAGATTTGCAAATGCAAAACATAACTTTAAAATCCATTGTTAAGGTGACTGGAATAGAAGAGAAACCTTCTAAGCAGGGGAATGGGAAAAAAAATGTAAATCCAGAAAAGTCAACAAATGCGTTTTCTTTCTTCATTGAATTTTAAGGGACTACTTGATAGTATACAGGACCTCTGCCAAACTGGAGGTGAGGTCAGATCTGTAAGATCCAGGACCCTCAGAAAGGTAAACTGAAGGAAAATCTACCCACTGGAGAAAGATGATAGGGAGAGCTGCTGCTCTCAGCCACAGGTATAGGTAGAGTAAAATCAGAGAAACCATTCTCTCCAGAAAATTCCTAACCATAACAACCTTGGAGGTGGAACTCACATAAGTCAAGGTCCCAGGACAATATAGATATCATATACAAATTAAGGTAATTTGAGGAAAGTTTATGAAAGGGGCTACTATAAGTTGGATTTTGGATGAAAAGAAGTAGAGAAACCACAGAAATAATAAAGCTAGTGTTATTTTAGCCCATCCTTTTTGTCGACATTCCTACAAGGCTATAGCAGCCCATTTCTGACTTGTGTTCGCTAATCCAGACCAGGTTTTGTTTCTGCCTCAGTGCCAGGAAGTTTTATTGGTGGGAACTAGTTAACCTTCCCCTACAAGTAAGGCAAGGCACTGAAGGATAATGGCCTATCATCACTGACCTAGTTAAAGAAGGGGTACTGCTTCCTATTATCTCACCTTTTATTTCCCTGGTATGGCCTATGCTTAAAGCCACTACTAATGAGTGGGAGCTAACTATAGACTATAGAGAATTAAAGGCTAGTCCCTTTATTAAAGCACCTCATTTAATGGATGACATTCAAAATAACATAAGTGAATGGTTTAAAGTTATAGATTTCACCAACATGTTCTATTTAGTTAAAAATTTTCACAGGAGAGACAGGCGTTCTCCTCCACCATCCATGTACTCTGCTGCACTAAAGACACTGTGGAACCAACCTGGACCTGCTCTGGACACCCAGCAGAGAGATCGAATTGCCCCTGAACCAGATAGTGCCACTTGGGTGATTCCCTGGAGACAAACAGACCCCCTGCAGATGACCTTTGACTTTTCTGTGTTGCTGTGCCTTTCTTTTCCTTATCTGAGAAATTCCTACCCTCACCAGTGTGACTACACATCTACTGGTGTGTCACCCTAGCCTTACATGACATATTAACTGCCAAGGCGGGGATGGGGGGAGTGGGATGGGTGGTCTATGTACTTGTTAACACATCCTGCTGCCTGTGGGTAGATAACACTCACCAAGTTTTACAGAGAATCAGGGACATACACCAAAGGCACCATAATATCACTGTTAACTAACCGGGTAAGTCAGAATCTTCTCTTTTCCAGATCTATTCTTCTGGCTCTCCCCTACAAAGTGGGAAGACTGGCGGCAAACAGGCTTTGAAGTCCTGGTTTGTGCCCTTATAGGATTCTGCATCCTAAAGATGCTCTATCACTGGCTCTGAGCACAGCATTATAAAGTAACATACAACGTGATTATAAAACAGCCCAGGGCCAGGAGATAGATTGTCATATAGATGAGCCAAAGATGGCCTCTGTGTATTGGCCCCTAGATTGTTTATTTCTTCAATGCAGGCTGAGATTCATTACCTCAAAAGCCTGCTAGTGCCAAATTCCAGTTTTTACACATCCAGTTATTTTTAAATTGTTTAATTTTAAAAATATTTAAATTCATATTTAAATTTATTTGAAATTTTAAATCTAAAATTTTATTTTAAAATTTACTTAAATTTAAGTGTGTATTAAATAATTAAATGATTTAAAATAACCCAAACAAGATGATTTGTAGCCATTTAGAGCCTGCCTGCTTTTCATATCCCCAGTGAAACTTCACCTAACAGCCATTTCCCGCTGGACTTTCAAGAATTACCATATTTATCACTGATTTGCAACCATAGTGCCCACAGAAATTTAGACCTAATCTATGTCAGAATAAATGTATTGCCAGTCAGTCCTATGAAACCACCAGCAGAGTCACTCTCATTTGATTCAGTTGTTTACCTATATTTTATCTTCAAATAGGTTTTCTAGGTAGTATATTTTCCGGCTTTGGGATATTTTATAGGGTCTTTTTATTACCTTCAACTCATACGGGGAAACTAAGCTGGCTATGAAATTATCAAGATACACTTTTCCTATAAAAATCTAGAGACATTACTACACTGTCACTGAGGAGCTACAGGCTCTGAGATTAATCCTTTAGGCAGTTTGAATATTTTTGTACCAAATCTGTTTCTTTTACCTGAAATCTTCCACATTTATAAGCCATTTGACATTGTCCCACAGGATTTTGATGCTTTATTCATTCTGTTTCTCTTAGTGTTTTAGCCTCAGGTAATATCTATTGACCTACCTTCAAATTCACTGATTCTCTTTTCAGCTGTGAAAAGTCTGTTGATAAATCTATTGGAGGCATCCTTCGTCTTCCATTTTCGTTGCTAACATTTCCATTTGACTGCATTTTAGTTTTCAACACTCTGATGAAAATTCCCGGGCCAGCCGAGTGGCTCAGTTGGTTAAGAGCTCGCTCAAGAGTTTGAGCTCTGAGCAATAGCGGTTCAAGTCCAGCCCGAGCTGAGCAGCCACTGAGCTGCCAACAGGTAGCAGGATGGCTCAGCTAAAGAAAAAAAAAAAGAGAGAGAGAGAAAATCCCACCTCCAGGGGGACGTAGGCTAGAACACAGACACCCCTGGGCAGGTTAGGAAGGAAGTGGGAGCTCAGGAGAGCCAGGTGCGAACGGAAAGCTTCAAGGCCAGGTACAGACACAAAGACTGTGCTGCTGACTGACCATGATCCAAGAGGGCACAACGCAAGGGTTCTAGGCATTGGAGAGGGTAGAAGACGGGGTTAGAAACTGGGGTAAACACAAACATGGTCCTATGTGGATTAGAATTGGGGAAATGGGGAGTTATTAGGAGCCCAGTGCTTCTTGTGTTGCCCGATAAAATGAGAGCTAAAGAGCACGATGAGGAGATACTTCCGTGGGTAGAGAGAAAAGGCCAGGCTGGAAGATAGAGTTTATATCTGCAGGTTGTTGTCCTCCCTCACATGCAGCTCCAGAATAAAAGACTCACCCTTCAGTCCAGCAGCTCTGGGAGAAGTGGGGAGACTGCCTCCAGTTGGGGTGGGGATGTTCCTATAAGCTTAAGGGCTGGAAAACTGGTGCTGTGTACGTCAGCCTGGCCCATAAGAAAAAGAGGAAAGGGCTGGGCCGTGTGTGGTAAGCAGTTTACAAAAATAAACATTTATTTCCCCCGTATATTTACATCACATAAAAATGA